CATTTGATGGTTTGACCCTGTGCTCAGACCTCGCCTCCAGCATGAAAGACTTTAAGGTATTTGTAGATGTAGGAAAAAGCAGAGAGAAATTTCAGCAGCTCAATGGGAACCGATACGAGCATGGCTGAAAGGAGATACCAGGCTGTCACCACACCAGGCACCAGCTGGGCTGCCCATGAGGCACTCAAAGGTAAACAGAGCAAGTACCAGATCACCTCTGCCCTAGGATTTTATTTCAAACAAAATCCAAATTAACAGAGGAACTGGAACTCATCAAAAAGGCGCACATTTTTTTATTTAAAAAAAAAAAAAAATCTCCTTCCAGGCATTCATAGGATGCCTACATGGTACCTACGACTACATGAAATCCTGAAAAATGCAGATAATAATTTTGCTGGTTGCAATATGCAGCCTCTAATATTCAGCCACCTACTTGAGGAAGACAAATAGATGCTAAACATTTTAGAACCTTGTATACACAGAGCACAATTATTTCCAGCTGCAGGACTATCATCTACTGCTCACACTATTAATCCCTTTAGAATTATAAAACATATTCCAAGACAAATTTTGAAAGACAAAGCTTTTTAAAACACCCTTAGAAGTTTAACTGTTAGCCCCTATGGAAAACAGATTCTGGTTTTCAGTTCCAATGCTACACCGAAAATAACCATAAACAAGGGGGAAACTGTTTATAAAGCAAGTGGCTTTGTTTCAAGCCACCAGTTACAGTGAGTTCAGGTGTTGCTTGCAAAAACACAGGATTAAACAATCCTGATTGCTAGGAACTGTAAAATATTACATTCCTTGAAGTGCCGAATGTTAACTTTCTTCCACTTCACTTCCTGGGAACAGCTGCCTTGCCAGCTCCACTGCCTTTGTTGAAAGTTATTTGTCATACTGAACAGAGGTTCTTGGAAAAAATTATGCTGGGAGCAGAGGTATAGAACATCACAGTCTGATTTTTCTAAGAACTCGCAGTCACGCTGCAGTTTTACAAAAACAAATGATCTGCTTGTCTTTTCCTAGATGAGTACAAGAAGCAGAGTAGAAAATTAAACATCAATACAGCATCAATACCGAAAGCACAGGGCTCTTCCCCAACAAAAAGCACAGAGCGCTTTACAGTTTTCCAGTACTGGAGAAGAAAATTCAGTAGTTAATGATGCAAAACCCACCAAGAGATAAAGCTTGAGATTCCTTAATTATCAAATTGTGTTTGTATATTGCTGAGTCCTCAGATTGTGGGTCAGCTTACACTGCAGGAGGCTAAAATACAAAAGCTTTGAGGGGGGAGGTTAGAGATAGGATCTGCAAATTCCGTGGTTGCGCTGAACAACAATGCCAACAAAAAACCTCAAATAAAGCTGCAGCCTGGAGCTATACGGCCCCTACAGCTCTTTCTCCAGAAGCAGGGAGGGACAGAGCTACTGGAAAAAATGACCGAGTACACCTACGCATTATGCAAAAGTTTAAGAAAGGGATGTTCCTCCAGGTGCGGAGGACAACTGCCTGCATAGCTGAGGAAGAGCTCATGCAACCCCAGCCATCTCACTTCTTCAAAGTATTATTTTCTCCAAGAAAAGAGTTACATTACTTCAAGAACACAAATGATGGCATTATGCGCTTACGATTTCCATGAAGGCATTGAACTGGACTTCCAACTATGTCTCCCCCTCTCCAATAAAACTGTATGCTCACTTGCTCACTTTGGCACAGTGATTGTATCTTGTAATACTGCGAGACCAATGTATTTTTTTGTTGTTGCCATGACAACTATGCTGTTAGGTCAGACCTAAAGCAGCAGCTGGCTTCTCCACTGCCAGACTCTGACAAGTACAGCTCTTCACTTTTTTTTTCCTTCTAAATACGTTGCCTATATACCAAGATTTTAGTAGCTTTTAATTTAAAGAGAGAGAATTGCAAACTACACCTATTTTTCTGCTTCCCAAGAATCATTACTATCATGAGGCAGGTAACAGAAGTAACACAAACACATATTCCTCCAGCAGCTGTAGGAGCTCACATGACCTTAAGCATGCTGAAAATCTCGCTTCCAAGTAAATACGGACATTAGCTGCTGGCATTAGTACACTATGCATAGCTTAATAAAAGGGTGGAAAATACAGCTAAAGCTAATGAAAACTTTTACAGGATACTAGAGTCATGCCCAACAAAAGTCTAAAACATTGTGCTCTACATTTACTCTCTTAAAAAGAAAATCAGATATATTTTCAAATTAAGAGCTTGAAAATAATATTACTATAAAACAGTGTCTGTAAGAATGAACTAGATTGAGCATAACATTGGCAAGGAAAAAGGCAAGAACTTTACATAAACACATCTGAGTTCTGCCACTGTAGCCTTCTAGGTAGAGAGGTAACTACTACCTTTTGCAAATGTTAGCTTCATAGCCAGTGCACCACTTGGCCAAGATTTCAAATGCAACTGAGATGACAGAATCATAGAATGTTTTGGATTGGAAGGGACCTTAAAGATCATGTAGGTCCAACCCCCCTGCCATGGGCAGGGACACCTTCCACTGGACCAGGTTGCTGGCCTTGAACACTTCCAGGGAGGGGGCATCCACAACTTCTCTGGGCAACCTGTTCCAGTGCCTCACCACCCTCATAGTGAAGAATTTCTGCCTTATCTCTAATCTAAATCTACCCTCTTTCAGTTTAAAGCCATTACCCCTTGTCCTATCGCTACATGCTCTTGTAAAAAGTCCCTCTCCAGCTTTCTTGTAGACCCCCTTCAGGTACTGGAAGGCTGCTATAAGGTCTCCCCAAAGCCTTCTCTTCTCCAGGCTGAGCAACCCCAACTCTCTCAGCCTGTCTTCAAAGGAGAGGTCCTCCAGCCCCCTGATCATCTTCATGGCCCTCCTTTGGACTCGCTCCAACAGGTCTGTGTCTTTCTTATGCTGAGGGCTCCACAGCTGGATGCAGTACTGCAGGTGGGGTCTCACGAGAGCAGAGTAGAGGGGCAGAATCACCTCCCTCGACCTGCTGGCCATGCTTCTTT